GCTCTTCAAATATTAGGCCTTTATGTGTAACGGATGTGAGATGGAAAATCTACAAATTACAGTTTAGTAGCTATATTTTCTAAAACGATCAAGTCCCCTCACCTACCTTATTTATCCCTTCTTGATTGTATCATGAACACTAAACACACTGAAACGGCGTCCTTAAATTATAACAACGTTACAAGGAAGTCCTTCATATCCGAGCAGCGGAGTACAAGTGAGAAGAATAAAGAGTTGGCTAGCCTATGCTAACCCGAGAGTGGCTGATTCCTGGCTACAGATTAGGTGACACGGTCACCCAAATGACGTTTGCGCACAGTGTTAGTCAGGATGGCATGCATTAGCTGTACCGCACAAACGGAAATGATATTGCCTCGTTGATTGTTTTATCACGAATAAAGGTCGCTGCGAGGACAGGAAAAACCTCCAAAGTGAACTTATCAGGCTGGAAAATTTCCCCCGTCCCGGATGAGAAATGAGAAGCCTTCAGTAAATCACTATAAAGCCATAGGCGCATTTAGAGGCGCATTTAGGGCCTAGTCACAATTAAGTCACATGAAACCTGAAAAATTGAAAACGGGTCACAAATGTATTAATTATTATGTCTCACAAATAAACACTAAATAGGAAGAGCAAACTTCAGTTTACAGGATACACTCGTGTGAACACACACACACACACACACACAGTAGAGCTTCTTAAGAATGAATTCCTTATTTCTATCAACGCATCTCTTGCTCGGTGCAGTACTGAAATCTTTTACAATTCAGTTCTTATGTTTCTTCTGCTATTGTACGACTCGATCTCATACTTGAACTTAAAATGTTTAAGGGGTGAAGACTGAAGAGACCAGATCCTCAGTTGATAGATCAAGGAGGAAGAGAGTTGAATAGTATTTATAGAAATATATGATACATATGAAAAGGATTGTCTACGAGACAGTGGGAATGGATTGTTTAGCTTATATAGTTACTCCAAGGTTTAGCTTAGTGAGTAATTGACCAGTGTGGGGTTTCAAAGCTCAGCTCATTTTGAAGCTGTGTCCTTGAGTAAAGTTGTTTACACCCCCCCCCCCAACCATAGTTTTAGTGAGAGTCTTACAACACAGTAATTCGTCATGTATATGCACCGAACATTAAAGGCGGTACGTACTAGAGGTAGATATTAAACCGCGTGAGAGCACCCACCAACCGTCCACTATGTCAGTCAAACATCATCCTTACTTCTGGTTTTATGTCAAAAGTGACGTCTTTTGCACATGTGTTGGGCCTTCCAAATGTGTACTACAATTGTATTAATCATGCTGAGTTGTTCATATTGTATAAGCTGAACTATCATTGTAATTGTTAAATTGGTGTGACTTTTTCCATCGGGGGGGGGGGGGGGTGTTAATGAAAATGTCACAATAATTGATATATCATGCATAGAAATCCTGAGGTGTTTTTGTGTAAAAAGAAGTAACGAAACACACACACATGCCACCAAATAAACACACGTTTGCAAACAAACACACACTTGCACACAATCACACATACACACACGCACACACACACACACAGACAAACACACACTTGCACTCACACACACACACACACACACACACACTCACTCAAATATTCACAAACACGTACACACACAAACACACTGCATTAAAAAATATACACGCTCATACATACATGCACACATACACACATCTACACTCACAAACATACACACACACACACACATACATACACACACACACACACACACACAAACATACATACACACTCAAATACACACAAACACGTACACACACAAACACACCGCACACAAAAATATACATGCTCATACACACATGCACACATACACACACACACACACACACACACACACACACACACACACACACACATACACACACACACACACACACATACAAATACACAAATTAAATACTTTGTAAATAACTCAAAACTTCACCAAGACCGAGCGACCACAGTGGGGACAAAGGTCAATGTGACATCAACAACTGCATAAGTCATGATAAAAACTTCCCACATTTTTGCGACAAAGAGCACTCTTGGCTTTCCCTGAAAAATCCTGTAGTTCAAGACGCACGTCCTACCTACCCGCCCCCTTTTCATCCCCCTCCACCTTCACCTCCACATACACACACACACTAC